TACTTCTAAGTATGTGTGTAGTCCTTCGGCTAAAGCACTAATATCCAATTAGAGATTTGATATATTTCAAGTTTGGACACTAACTGATATCAGATACAGAACCATTGAAAAACTGACAGGGAGTACTGGGCAGCTAACTGTTTCGTCCTAGTGCTCGGGATTTCTCATCAGTACCCATCCACCACCGGGGTTCGAACCCAGCACCTTACGATTACAAGGAGAGATCGGAGACCATTCAACCACTAGGAGCCAATCTAACGGTTAGTCCATGAATCTCAACTTTCACCAATTCGTTCAAAAAAACAACTCGATTACTTCGTAGTAGTAGACATTTATGATTTTTAGTGTTTCCCTTTTCTTAAAGCTGGATTAGCTTGATCTGCAAAACTCTAATTGTCCTTCTGAACTACACATCCCTAGCCTCGACTACAACTGAACAGGCCTAGGTCTAGGTCACAGAACACAAAAGTAAATAAAACCAAAAGCACAGATCTGAGATAAACACCTTCGCCATCATACATATATAAGCATACATTGGACTATGCGCCATATTTCTTCATATATCAAGGTTCGATAATACTAATACTTTTAAGTTTTACAGGGATAAAACTGGGTGAGATAAGTTTTGAACTTAAGGCCCATCAGTTAAAAGCTTAGTATTTGAATCAATAAGCCACACCTAAAGATATGCATACATATATATAAAATACATCAAGATAAGTGTACCGACAAACAAAACGTCTAACATTATGACATCTTGACAATTATTCTATCTAATGAATGCCACACATCTCAGATTAAAATCTCTGCGCGTAAAAACAAAAAGAAGACAGAAAAGTAATAGATCTTTCTGACATGCCTTGGAAGCAGAAAAAATAAAAACAAAAACAAAAAACAAGTAAAAACACACTACAGGTGAATTGATAAGATGATTTTCTACGGGAATGAATGCAAATTCATTCACTATAACCTAACAACGTTACCATAGTAACTGTTGTTACCGGAATCAGATAACAGTGAATGTCTAACAGTTTTTGCTGTTGATTTCTAGCTAGCTAATGCGTTTACAACAAACACTACACTAGTTAGATAAGGTTAGTTGATGAGCCCTTATCAATATTAATTAATCAAGGTAATATAAAGACACAAACAGGCCAGTCAGTCAGATTTGTGTATATCTCACAATTAAATCACCCGGGAAAATTGTATTTCTAAATGTGTAAATAATACTTTACTTAATATAAACAATTAAACTAAAACAAACATCAGTCAACCTTTATTTTTTCTGTTCGCTTGTTTGTTTGTTTTCAATCTAAATTATGCTCTCAATTTTGAACATTAACTACCAATTACCATAGGCATATTTATATATACATAGATGTCCTTCTTTGAGTTCATTTCTCCAGTTATTATTACAACTAATACTACACAACTTCAGATGAATTTTTATTCAGGTTGAAAATCCTAATGAATTTAAGGGTTTATGAATTGGCAAATGTTAGAATTCATGCGCTGGCCATTGACTCGGGTCCCGATGACTTAATGGTCTACAAGCTCGCCTTGTAACCAGAAGATCCTGGGTTCGAACCCCGGCGGGTACGTAGTGATGAACAATCCCAAAAATAGAGAGAAACAGCTGTCCAGTACTCTTAGATTTTCCAATGATTCTCTAACTGATGTCAGCTCATGATGAAATCCTCCAAACAAACCCGGTATTGTCCAGTTCTCCTTTCCGCTTTTCAATAGTTCCTATAACTTGGATTGTGACTTATGATTTCCAATTAAACTGTTTTGTTCTCCGTTATTCCTATTTCTTTGTCTCACACCTCTGTTTACTGTCTATATTATGCATTTCTCTTACTTTCTTCTCTTGCTTTGTGTGATACATGGAGTGTGGCGACTTGAACTGCCACACATATGTGCAAAGTTCTATGTCGAAAACCGACCAACCGACCGATAACTTGGATGAATAGAGTAAAAACAAGAGCAACAGGGATTTATACAGAATAAGAGATGGTACCATCAATGTTTATTTCGTTGGCGGCTTTTCATCAGTTGCGTACAGCCTTAGGAAATTAATTAAGTTTATGTGTATAGAACAATTTAAACAAACTTGTAAATGTTACATAATGGCAGTTAATGACAGGAGACTTTAAACTGAATAAACAGTGCTCAGAAAATTTCACTTACACAGCTTATACACCGAAGGTTCGAGTTCAAACATAACGGTTTATGCTTCGATATAATGACAAAATAGTTAAGTAATAAAGATAAGAGATGAATAAGTTGACTAATAATCCGATGAGTTCAACTCAAATCATGCAAACAAGAGACAAAAAAGTTACACTTTATCTAGGGGGGTGAGGGAAAAGGTTAAGGTCAAAGGGAAAGACAGAGAGAGAGCGGGTAAAGACAGCCAGTTACCATGATAAAGAAAGACGACTGATAACTGCTTCTTTCTAAATACACAAAAATCGGCTTCAAGGCGTTTTGACAGAGACCGCCTCAGTAGGCAAATTGGAGGAGAATTGAACTATTCCGTTTATTGATAATTTTGGTACATGTTCAAAAAATCGAAGGTGTAACTTTTCTTGTGTCTCTTGTTTCCATGATTTCAGTTGAACTCACCAAATGGTTGCTCAGCTTACTAGTTACTCATTATCTTACTCAGTGCTTGTCTTTATTACGTAACTGCCTTACGATTGTATGCATTTACTTATGTTTAAACTCAAACCTTCAGTGTATAGGCTATGTGAGTGTAATTTTCTGAGCACTGCTTATTAAGTTTGAAGCCGCCTATCATTAAATCGCATTACGTAACATTTACAAGTGTGTTTAAATTGTTCTATACACATAAACTGAATCGATTTTTTTAGGCTGTACCCAGTTGATGAGACGCTGACGAAATAAACATTGATGGTAAGATCTCTTATTCTGCACAAATTACTGTTGTGCTTGTTTTACTCAAATTTACAAAGGGGAATAAATGTATGATGGCTGCTGAACTGATGTCGTTGTGTGATGCAACAAAAAATCGATCATATTCACTGCAAACTAACACTTAAAAGGTGCATTAATCAAAATCTTTATACTTTTCAACAATACAATCAATTTGTATGAATAGAAATATAAAAATGGTCAAACAAGCAACAAATGTTGTTTAGAATGAAGTAGGATTCACTAAATTCATTCAGCTTTAGTAGAACTTTAGAAATGTTTTACTGAAAATTTCATGAATTCATTAAATCCTGTATTCAAGAACAACATATGTGGCGGCTTGTTTTAAATTCATATATAGCGGGAAAATAAATGTTTTCAATTTTTGAGGAACAATATTACAAGAAGAAATGGTATACGAAGAATGGAGATGGAGTTGATTGTCTCAAGTTTTCAGGCAAAATGGACAACGGGTTCAAACTCACTATCACCAACTTCAACATGGGCAAGTGAGTAGTGATCATCAGCCTTCACACACACACACAATATATGAGGCTTAGAGCTTGGTATGTTAAGCAGAAAAACATTCTAATATAAATGTCTGGGAAATATGGAGTGGATGTGAAAAAAGCATAGAATGGCAGTCAAACCTATACCTTAATTTCATCGACTTTGATGAAAAGGTCTTCGATAGCACTGACCACGTTGACTACTTCAAAACTATGGCGCGCAGTGCCACAAATCTTTATCAACCTCATTCAACAGATACATGACGATGGCACGTAACAGGTGATCCACAACGGAAATCTCAGTAGGGCGTTTGAAGTGAATACAAGAGCAAGACAACACTGCCTATTATCACCGATGATATTCCTAATTGTAGGAGGCTGTATTATGCGGAAGACTGTGCATGACGAGCGAAAAGACAGTAATACGCTGTAACGACAAGAAGACTTCAAAAGATCTAGGCTTCACTGATGATTTATATCTAATTTCACAGGCGGAAAATAGCAAACTGTCTGAAGAAGCAGCCCACAAAGACAGAACTTCAAGTGAATGTAGAGAAGACGGAGGTGATGAAGATAACCAACCAACTAACAACAAAAACAACAGGCACCAATCACTATACACAGGAGGAATTTCAAAGAGGCCATTTCTTTCACTTACCTGGCCAGGTAGAATCATCTCAACTACAGGCGGAGTGGATGGAGATGAAACCAGATTCGGAAAGGCAAGGCAGACCTTCATCATTCTGAAATCAGTTTGGAAATCTTCAGCACTCAGCATAAAGAACAAAATTTTGATTTTCAACAAACGTCAAGTTACTTCTCCTATATGGGTGAGAAAATTGGCCAGCGCATCACAGAAAGCATTTTAAACAACCAACTGCCCTGGTAACGTATTGAAGAACAAATGGCAGGCCGGCCAGAAAGAATTAGCTACAAGAAACTCTGCAGCAGAAGAACCCAACCAAGAACCTATTGTTCAACAAATATCCTGAAGAAAATGGAGATGGATGGGACACAGGCTAAGAAGACCATCAAATGATATCGCGCTCAACGCGGCCATCGCTCGAATGGAACCCGAATGGGAAACGACAAGTTGGGCGTGTGTCTGAACACAACATGGAGGAGATCAGAGACTATAGGTAACCGCGTCGCCTATGCTACAGAGGACAGCAGAGAGTAGGACAAAGTAGAGACGTGCTGTTGAAGCCCTATGTTCCACCCACTCAGAATCTGAGAGAGCAATAATAATAATAATAATATAATCATCACATGTTCCGCATATGTATATATATATATATTTACCTACCACTGTCAAAAAGTTTACATATAAGGTAAAATAAATGGACATATTTTGTTATCTAAATAACTTAAGTATACCAAAAAAACAACCTATTTATCAACTCGAAGAATGCTTAAAGCATATATTATCTATTAAAACCAAACTTTATCCTAATTATTTTATTTAATTATCCTTAAGGTTTGATTAATTAGTGTATATCACTTTGACAAACACATACACACACATAAACAAAGGGACAAAACAAAAATGCTTACTTGATTATCTGGTTGACGCCAACCGACAATACGAAAAGCATCTAAACCATTCTGTTGAAGTATTTGAATCCAAGACAGTGCTCTTGTCCCACCACTAGGTAACCATTTTCTATCCTCAGTATTAAACAGTAAGACATAAGCTTGAGCTGAGGCTACTGGGGATTCTCTAGAAAGAAATTCACCAAAAGAAAATAAAAGAAGTTCGAAGTTGTATTTTTTTAATTTATATGCATAGAGAGAGCTAGAATACTTTTAGAATTCTTTCTTCCAAAAATTATTACATTAATTAATTAGTGCCTACATAATAAAAAACGAAGTGCATAAATTATCCGACAGTAAACATCCACCCTACACACCCACACCCACAGGCGCACACACAAAGTTGGCACACCTCGAAATAAGACGCGTAGAGTAGAGTAGGTATATTAACCAAAGTACATCTATCAGTTTAATGATAATAATAATAATAATAACTTTACTTGAAACGGTACATTTGATACAATATGGCATTCTCAGCATGTAATCTTAGGTTTAGAAACGGAACAAAATTAGGGAGAGAATTACCCTTATACAGTTTAATGAAAACAATGTTTGGCATGCAATTCGATCCTGTTCAATATAAGATGATGAGGCTACAGGACTGGACTACATCACCTACTCATAGATGGCTTAAGCATAGGCAGGAGTGAAGTGGTGGCTGAGCGTGTTGACCACTATTTCGCTTATTTGGGAAGTTGTATCAGCCTGGCCTAGTGGGTTGATCGCTGACCAAATCTCAACATGGATATAGAAGGTTCGTTCGACATTTCTGGCTTAGTAGATGTGATATCTGGATAGCTATCGACCAAACGATGTGTGTATTGCACGGCACCAGCTCGCTCCACCCTCCTTTATGGCTCACTATGAGCGAGACTAGGCCATTGGAAGTGGGAGACATGAAAAGCCTAGTTGGCTGTCTTTCATCATAGCTGTGTTCGTTATATCTCCTGTCCTAGGTGGTAAGCGTAATAGGGTTGAATGCTCAGTAAGGAGGGAAAATCAGCCGACGAGGTCGTGAGATAGATAGGACATGTTTTACTCATGACTAGCCATCACCTTCCTCGATGAGCAATGTTATCTGACTGACATGGGATCGCTGAGGTTGTAAAAGGGCTAGTGGTGGTTAAACCAAAACTAGCATGACTTCACCAGTCAATAAAATGCATAGCAGTTTAAGTCAGTCAAGTAGGGAGGAGTAGACTTCCTGACTGACTGGTCGGAGTACTCGAGATGGTAAAAACCAAAGAAGGCAGGGGACAATTAGTGATACGGCTCAAAATGATCATTGTCAGTGGCTGGCGCAGATGCATTCACACTTTGTGATTTATAATATCCAATAAAATTTTAGTGTTCATCCATATTATTATTCTTTTTGTCTCATATTTATGTTTATTATCTCTATTTTGAACCTCTCTCTACTCTCTTCTCTTGCTTTGTGTACTACATGGAGTGTGGCGACTCGAACTGATGCACATTTGTGCATAGGTCTACGTTTAAAGCAGTCAGTCGATGAAAAAAAAAATTAAATTTAGGACCATTATTAGTGAATACGTGAACGATAACACGATTAGTTTTAGATCAAGTCGCTAACAGTCCCAAACAGCAAACCTTCACTATTCCGTAAACCCTAGTGAAGCAACTTCTAATTCATGATATGATTCAAACATATAGTCAATGACTTTGTTAAATTAATTCAAATAAGTGTGGCATCTTGAACTACATAGCAGTAACGTCGTACGCTACACTAATACTATGTTTACATCTTTGTGAAATGGAATCAAGGCTTCGCTTGACCACGCTTAATAATTTACTTCTACCTTAATCCTAATTTAGACGGCATTACTCATCGATAAAAACAGCAGGTGATTATATGTTGCAGTCTGTACCACATATACTTCAATCGATGAAGGTTCAAAATGCTATTGACTGATTTAAGTGTTCGATTTATTTTTTACACTAGAAAACAGCCAAGAGGACTTTGATATCTATTCATCTGTAACAAGTTAACTATGGATAATTCAACATCTAAATTAAGGATACTAGTTAGGTCATTTAATCACTCTATTATTATTATTATCTTTTCTTCGGGTTCCGAGTAGAACATAAGGAGGGTTTCAATTCCACATGCTTGCTTTTAATTTCATCGAAAGAAGACACATCGATTAACTGGCTCCCCGAAAGGTATCCGCCAGCCTGTGTCATTCCACGTGTCTTTGATTCCAGAGAAGAATAAGTTTGTTTGTTTTTTTATATTTTTCTTGTGCTTTAAAGTTTCTGTAGCGATTGTACTAATTTTCCGGAGTAGGGTTGCTGGTTCCCCCCCCCTCACGCCCAAACTTCCCTCTTTTTCTGTGCTTAAAACAGGCTAGAAAACCAGTGGTAGACTGTCTAGTAAACTAGACGAGGTTCTTACATATAAGCGTGAAGTTTACATCAAACTTGGAGAATATGGTAACGACTTTTGCTCATAGCTTTCACCTGAATAATTAAAAACAGATTTTAGTTTTGTGCATCAAGTAGCTTCTTTTCATTATCACAGATACTTTGTAAGTAAAAGTACATAACTCAAGATCATTCACCAAATTTAACACAATCATCTGCCAGTCTACTAATTCAGTGTTGCAATTAATTTATCATTTGATTAAACATAGAGGTGCAAGAATACAAAAAGTAGAGTACATCCCGGTGAAGCTATGAGTGAAAAATTCTGACTGATTCACGCAGATTTAATTAAAAAATTGGCAGAATATCTACACATGCGTGGAGAATAGTCCATGTGCATTGTACGAAAATAAGCGGCTAACGAATTTCTACATGTATAGAACATAACCATATTTTTTCGCAATTTTCACACTAACCGTGGTTGACAAATATTTCAAGAGTATATGAGTGACTCTGTTGACCTAAACTTTGTAAGGTATTTAATTTACTGATATATTTAGGATGATGGGAAATAATTGTCAGATACTTGTGACGACCAATTTAAAGTTGGCCACAGAACTGCGAATGCACTCCATTTTATCGTCTTAAGAATTTTGAATATTATATTCACTCATTTTATCTATTCTACAACATATTTATCGATTATAGTAACTTTCGCTAAAGTGTTGCACATATTCCTATGTAAACTTCCAAACTGTACTTTAAAAAAGCCAAGAAAACTAGATAAACAAAGCCATCATGTTCCCATTATGAAAATATTGCTGCAAATTATCATTAGTCTAAACGCTGTAAAATGGTCTTTATGACCCGAAAGTAAGGCTAAAAAACCAAGTAATAATTAAAACAGTAGTATAGCCTAAAGTTCAACCGTTTTTGTAGGGAATATTCACTGCAATACTTCGTGACATAGTCTAAGGTATATGAAAAAAATTCAGATAAGTTGGATACATCTTTATTTAGGTAACTATAAGCTATGTTGAAAAGTCAGGTACTTTTCAAAAAACAAAACATCACGAAAACATTTACATCAAACCAAATATGTGAATTCTGTGTCATACCTTAAGTGGTGTAAAAAGCACTACAAACTCAGAAGGTTGTATTACGAAGTCCCCTAAAATTAAACCTATTTATATATCAAGATTATGGTTAATGAAAAATTTCCTATCAAATGTATATTACTCCGAACAGAATTATGAAATGATTTCTCTCCGGATAGCAACAACCAAAGCAGTTTCCGTAATGGCGTCAAAAATTAAAGTTGAAGTGCTGTTTGCTACATTAGATATCTACATGGATGTGGAACAAAAAAGGCTTGCAGTTTCGCTTTTAAGTAAACTTAAATTTGGATATTGCAATGTACGTACAATATTTATCTTTCTAATTTTCCATAACCAACTCTTTACCATTTCATTAAAAAACAGTTAATCAGTAATAAGGTTTGCTTTTCATAGGTAGAAATAAAGTCCATGACAAAATTAAACACATGCCATACACTTAAAGTAAGATTAAATAAATCTCATATACAGAATTTAATAGAATCATCTGGAAAAAGCTCACTAATTTATGTACATCTCTGTTGAGGTCTACACTAGAAAGCTGTATCTGATCAGTCAGTCCTTGGCTAACAGCGGACTCACACATACTGGAAAGACCAAACTCATTTATCATACGTGGAACAGCTTAATTGACTGAATCACTTACCCTCATAATGCCAAAGAAATGTTTGAAAATTCTAAGGAATAGCTATGATCGGAACATCTCAGAGAACATAGCACGAAAGTTCAGAATTTAAAATGGAACTATATGGCTTTGGAGTACTGTCTCTCCCATTAACACATTAACTTTTGGGACAAACTTCCAAAAAAGTGGTGTCTCAGTCTTCGACACACTTGTTTAAGAGAGGAATGAGGAAACGCAGATAATTATTGGAAAAGGATTAAAATACACTTGAAACCTCCTACACTCAATTAAAAACCTAAAGCTAAATATAATGTAAGCTTAGGAGTGAGTCGAAAATGTCTAATAAAGCTAAAACCAACTAAAAAGAAAAAACATGGGACATGCAATAACTAAAAACTAGTCCCTAAAAATATGAATGTACAATATCACTTTTATGAACTAGTCTAAGCCAAAATGATTTCTTTGTGCTCAATTTTGACTGTAAGGATAATTTTAGGCAACAAATTAGCACAGCAATGACTTTAAAACCTACAGCTTTCATGTCGCATATTGGTAAGTGGTTGGAGCAATGGTTTGATGTATATATACAGACATTTTAGAGCACATGCATATGATTTCATAAATGCTTTATGTCGCATTTTTATTCTTTTTGACAATGATATGATAATAAGTAAGTTCTTACCGCTGTTACTCAAACAGCAGCTAGGCGAAATCTCACCCAAAAACAACTGGTGAACTCTATTCGATATTTTCTGGTAACAATTCAACACACCCCAAAGTTAGAACAATGTAGAGATTACATTGAGACTCATTCAGCATTAATCACACTATGTTTGCACAACAGTTCACGTCTACGCATTTTCCAGATTATTTATGCACTCAGTACTTTTCCCGTAGAACGCACACTATCCTCATAATTTGGGATCTTTAAACGCATCGGATTGTTATACATCCCAGTTGGAAAAAATGGGCGAATAATAATTAAGTAATGGTTAGAATGGGCGCTATTTTGGGTAAGTGGTGAGAGTGGTAACATAAAGGGGGGAAATGTGGTTAAATAGAGGTTAGAATGGGAAAGTGGTGGTTATGTAGTGGGAGAGTATTGGTTAAATCTTGACTAAATAATGCTCACTTCAGGAAGAACTATATCACAATTAAAATTTGCCTATTTTTCTTACTACTGACCATGACCATTATTTACCCATTTTTGTTCGATTGGAATGCAGTTTGTACATAAAAAATTTTCTAATAAACATAAAAATTCTTTTAAGAAAAACAACAGAAGTGAAGATATTCAAACGGTCGAAACACGACTGACTTACTTTAATTCCCTAGCTGTCGACATCAAACGCACATCCAAGAAACGTTGTGTGGAAAACAAAAGTTACGAACCTAAATGAAAAAAATTAAATGAAAATATGGATTTACTAAAAAAAGAAGCCTTATATGCGACAAAAGTCATGAAATAGCAGTGCAGATAACAGCTAGTTTATGAAGAGTTAACCACAACCCAACTCACTGTCAATCAAAAAATTGTCCGGCAACGACCTTGAGGTGTAAACCTCCCACCATGCATTATGATGCCGAGTAACGCTCAAAAGTTCATTACTTTCTAATGTCAAGATCAACTATTTTCTTTAATGGAAAGGCAGCTGATTAGGGAAGGGAATATTCAAGGGTGGAATTAACTTCATAAGAAAACTGTAAAATCTCAAATGACATGCAGTCTAGCTTTATTCATTTTTCGAGCAGTGAGTTGAACATAGAGCTGCAAGCGTTAAAATCTTCAGTACCAGTGGTGTTTTTATCAATTGCTGTGGTCGCTAGCTGCACGTACAATTTCCTTGCCTTCCAAAGGTCACTACCGGCAGCTGGACTAAGGCACGTTTGGCAGAGATTTGGACGTGAATAGAACCCTAACGTCACGGATAGCTGGCGAGCATTCAAATACTGACTCATCTACACATTATATATATATATAAGGATAGTGCGGCAATTTTCGACGCCGCTTCTTTGGATGATTTTCAGCGCATCAATGAATTGCTTTGTGCACCAGGCCTTCCACCTCAGCACGAAATGACCTTCCATAAATAAGCTAAATGCTATTCTGACCGAGTGACTGATTACCTCGAGATTTATTACTGTCTGTTTTCGTTTGGGACAGAGGGCTTCGGCAGCGCATTGCCGTTTCATTCTATCGTTTTTATTCTTTTTTAGCATGTTCTAAGGTTGACCACAACCACTGATTCTTATGAAGTTTAGTATTAACATGTAGGTTTCCGGGCACGTTGTAAATTGACTTTGCACTTTCTCTTGCTCTTCTTAACTCTATCACTCTGAGTCACTGTCTTGGTCATATAAGCCAGAAATACTGCCACATATTTTGACTCAAGGATCTCCTATCCTTATTGCATCTATATGTGTGTTTCTCCTCCGAGAGTATTTCTACGTAATAAGGAGAATAAAGAAGTGAAGAAGAGTGCTACAAAAGACAAACGACAATTCTACGACACACTGGCCGGCAAATGAAGCAGAACAGGCAGGGCGCAGGCAAAAGAGACATCGCGACACTATATCAGATAACCAAGTCTCTATTCGGGAAGAGATCAACCCGGATGATGAAACCAATAAAAGATTCTTAAAAGAACCTGATTACCAAGGAATAGAAACAAATCAAGCAGTGGGTTGATCACTTTGAAGGACTCTTGAATCGATCACTGGCAACACACCCAGAAATACAACCGACAGCACTCACGGAAATGCCAGTGGACACCGCTCCTCCGAAGAAAGAAGAAATGATGAATGTGGTAATGCAGAAGGACCAAGCAGCATTCCTCCCGGAGCACTGAAAACGGTCCCATAGACTATGGTAGATATTCTCACTCCATTACTGTGAAAAGTTTGGAAAGAAGGCGCCTACTGATTGAAGAAGGGCTACCTAGTCAAAATGCCAAAGAAGGGCAACCTAGGCCTGTGCAAGAACTGGCATGGAATAATGCACTTGTCCACGTCGAGAAAAATACTAAGTCGCATCATCCTAGAGAGAATAAAGGATGCAATGGATACAGATCTTCGCCCCACTCCCAGAACAAGCTGGATTCAAGAAAGGCAAATCATGTGCTCATCAAATTGGAACTCTACGCATCGATATCGAACAAAGCATAGAATATCAGTAAAACCTGTACCTTAACTTCATCGACCTGGAATAGAACTTCGACAGACAGCGTTGACCGATAAGTAGTTTGGAAACTCCTTCAACACTATGAAGTGCAGTGCCCAAGTCCTTATCAATCTTATTAACCAGCTATATGACAATGCCATGTGACCCACGATGGAGATCAGTGAGGCATTGGTCATGAAGACAGGAGTAAGACAAGCTGGCTGTCTATTATCACCGATGATATTCCTAATTGTGGTGGACTGGATTATGTGCCAGACTGTGCACAGGAAATGAGCACACAGGAATACGACAGACTGAAAAGACTCTAGAAGTTCTGGATTTCGCGTATGAATGATATATGTCTAGTATCACACGACCCCGAGGACTTGCAAGCGAAAACCAACAAAATGGCTGAAAAAGCGGCCAGTGAGGACAGGACTGCAAGTGAACATAGAGAAGACGGAGGTGATGAGGATAATCAACGAACTGCAACAACAACAGCAATCAGCTTCAATCACCATCAACGGGAGAGATTTAACAGAGGTTTCCTCCCTCACTTATCTGGGAATCATCGCTTCAACTACAGGCGGAACGGACGAAGATGTCAAAGTCAAAATCGGAAGTGCAAGATGTGCCCTCACCAGTTTGGGGATCTTCTGCACTCCGCGTCCGCGTAATCAACAAGATTTGCATTTTCACCACCAATGTCAAGTCGGTTCTTCTATATAGGTCAAAAACTTGAACTGCGAGTCACGGAAAGTATTTTCAACATGAGGCAGACTTTCATCGACAGCTGCATTCGCTATCTCCATACTGAAGATCAAATGGCCAACCGGCCAGAAAGAATCAGAAACAAGAAACTATGAGAACAAACCAACAGACAGCCGATCGCTCAACAAATATGTAAGAGAAAGTGAAGGTAGATCTGGCATACATTAAGAAGGCTGCCGAATGACATCGCTTGCCAGGGCTTCGGTTGGAATCAAACGGGAAGCAAGTCTGGAATACCCATTGAGATATACGTCACTTCAAAGCAGTAGGTTTACGTGAAATTTATCTCTTAGGTAAACTTCGGGCCAGATTTTTCGATGACAAATAGACCGTAATCACTGACCAAGTAGAGTATCTGTGTGTTGAGAATGAAAAGGATTTTTATCGAAGATTACAGTCAGGAGTCTTCAGAGCACTAAATCTCTGTCGACACAGAAGCTAATAGGTCCAGATAATCCAAACCTGTGGGACCTGAATGTCCAATTGATTAGGGTAACGGCTTCGGTAACTACGAAATTTACAGTCCAGGTTAGTAAAAGCAAGATTCGCCTCTTTGGTATGCAAAGATTAGCACTACACTTATCGGAATACACATCACCACAGTTAAATTAGAGAAATAGTAAAATACAGTAGATATTTCACAAAGCCAGTTGTTGGAAAGCCTGTCAGACTGCTAGAATCACTGAAGAGTTATGAGAAAAAAGTAAAAGGTTACTGTTTGACTCTGTTTCACACTAAGATGTCAATTCACACCAAACTTTTGTAGCAAGTGGTGCATCTTTCACTACTTCACTGCCACACACAGAGTTACTGAGCATAAGAAATTCGCTGTCCTATGTATTTCGAATGTTCAAAAGTAAGGCGTTTCCCAATCTTGGATCATATTTCGAATTCGATTAAAAATCTACTTATATAACTTTGGAGCCGTTTATTTATGCACTAAGGATCCTGTACATTAGATAGACGCATTGTCCACAAAACTTCTGTCATTACTAATGTCATCAAACGTAGAACTTCGAACGCCAGCTGCATCAGTGGCAGTTTTCATTAATCAGAGTAGCTGCATTTTCAGTTAAAAAAGGGAAGCCATGCGTCCGGTCACCTAATTGTGGGACAAGCCAAGAAACGTCACATATTATTCGCTGGCCTTCACGGCTATATCCACTGAGTATTGTGAGATAGGGGCTCTTAAGAAACGTACAGCACCAAGGTCTCATAACAGATATTTTGATATGAAGTAGTACGGTGTTTTTAGAGGGATAAAGTTTCGAGTACAGTCAAATCTGATGATTATACCTCTGTTACCATAGGACTTCCAAACTTTTTACACGGTCTTTAACTCACTCCTCAATTTTAGAGCAGTTTTATAAATATGTGGAATCAGCAGTGAGTTACTACATGTATGATATGGTGATTCAGTGCTATTTTACCCGGATACATCCGTTGACATATGCAACTGAATTGACTGGTCACTGAGGAGTAAGCAGCAACATGTTCCTAATCACTGGTGTTGGTGCTGACTGAACAGGCAAGTCCGCTGTGTTGATTAAGGAAGGTGGCTCACCATTGCCATGCACTCTAAAATGAAGCCTCGTATTTGGGGTCATTCGGCTGTAATTCATGGCGACTGATCGCTAGATCTATAGCAATCCTACAGATAGTGACATCCTAAATGTAAGCGCTTAATGACGAACTCTGGCGTGAGCTTTATACATGGTACGATTTCACTATTTCATACAAACTCACTGTATATTTCAGAAGAATACCATGCGCAGTGTTGACCGTTTGTTTCTTGCATCACATAACTTGCACTCAAATTCTCTGCAGAAAGTTGCTCCCACTCCTTCATTACCGTCGTACATCTTAGCTATTCGTTAGGGCTGGTTCAATAATATTTATTTAACACATAACTTTTGGTGGAAAAATTCCTTAGTTACCATGAATGTCTTGATATTACATGCATCATCAGCGTTTGTTCATACTAAATTTGTTAAGCATTAGCTACTTCTGCACTCCTCCTACCATGTCCTCCTCTCTTCTTTCTTTTCCGTTCATAACTATTTCCCTAGATCCATGTTCTGTGTAAGTAATGCTGTCTCCCACGTCTGTATGAGGCGATCGGTGTATTGAATTCGCACATAGTACACCTCCGTGTTGTTCGATGAGGAATTTGTACACTTGATAAGGACCAAACTGCATCCTACACGAATTCTGTTCATCAATTGGATAGGGGTTCAAATTATGGATAACATCATGTCTACCAATGACTATGAATCCGTCGAGATTTTCAGGTGTCAGGTCCAGGACCACAGTCCTTGATGTTCGTTTTATTTCTTATTAACTAGTAGTTAGTTTTTAGTCTGCTGACCCTGTGTTTCTTTAATTCAGCCAATCAGCACAGGCAGCTACGTGTTTAAAACTCAAGCTTTGCAATTCCACGTGCAGATATCCATAACTACTCAGCATTCTTGAGAATATAACTTTGATATAAACTATTCATTTGTACTTTGAACATTGGTAAGACGATTTCACGAAACGTCGATCTAGTCAGTATCTTAATATTCTTCGACGTATTATTGCAGTGTAACTGAGTGTATAGCGAATTATGTGTATATCCAATTATTGTTCTTAAATACATCAAG